TAGAAGTCGTCCTGAGCCTATCGAAAATGAATCGCTGCGAATCGGTTGAAGAATGATATAAATTGCTTTGGTAAAGCTTGATTTTTTACCATTTTTGGCGTTTTGGTCCGTAAGCCCCAAGTCCTATACTACTTGATTGCTAGTGTCTCAGGCCATTTTGAAGCGTTTTCGGCGAGTTAGCGCGCCATGTTGGTGTTCAACTGCTAAACACCAACATAGCGCTAACTCGCCGAAAACGCTTCAAAATGGCCTGAGACCTTAGGAATCAACGAAGAAAACAACAAGGCAATAAGGTAAGCCCATTTTATTTCAAAACAATAATTTTTTTTCTCTCTTTTAAGGCAAACCGATAACCCATACAAACCTTTATAAATATAAAACGTTGCGCAACACGGTAAGAGTTACGTCCGCTTTTCTAGTGGTGAGCTTGGGCTCTAGTAGAGAGCTTGGGCTGCCAGTGGGTTCGGGCGTCATGAACGTCCAGCCTGACCTAACTCAGTAAATAAGAATTTTATCATGACCTCTGAACAATCCCAAAGAGTTTGTTTCAACTCAAATAGGACACGATATAATTTCGATATATCAACAAAGTTGAAATGGTAAATTGGCCACCGTAACGATAGACTGGCGCGCGCGCGCGCGCGAAAAAATAAAAAAAACCAGATTTTACAATAAAAACTTTTTATTTCTTTTTTAGAGTCAAAACAAGAAATTTTCGATTCATAGCAAAACGTGACTCAATAAGTCTAATGCAAACAAAATTAACCGCTGATCTCTTGGCGATATTTCTTGATAGCGTTAAGTGAATCTGCTCAGAAACTGTTTGAATTCAACTTTGCTGATGCACTAGGGATTGGTTTGAATAAAATAATGATAAAGGAATGTCGCACTCAGACATTCGTGAAGAGGAAGAAAACGACGACCTCCCCCGAATCAGCTTGAGGACACAGAAATTTGTCAGCTTTCTGTTTTTACTTCATTTTAAGTTCCTTTTTGTTGATTCTTTTCCCACGTCAGGGGCAGTTCTTTTAAAAAAGAGGAGAAGGCTGCAATGAATGAAGCAGCAGAAATTTTAGGGACAGTCCAGACAGGTTTAGATATCGCCATATTTCTTCTCAAGACTGATCGTGGCATACAAGCGACTGTGTTATGTAATGAATGCGTAACTCTAGTCCAAAATCTTCATTCTGGTATCGACCTTGATATCTCGGATACAATATTCAATGCATACTACGCCATCTTTGGTTACACAAATGCAGCAAGATATGCCACTAAACTTCTTGACACGTTTCTTAACGCTGGAGTACTAACCATACAACTGGGAGACGAATATCGAGCACAAAGTCGGTTTGTGGAAGCAAAGCAACTTTATGAAAACACACTCACCATCATGCAAACGACTGGCAGCAAAAGAGAAGAAGCACTGGTTCATGGAAGACTTGGATTGGTATGTCATATCCTACGTGAAATGCAGATGGCTATGGAATACTTTGAGAAAGCACTTGCCATCACAATAGAAATTGGCGACAGAAAAGGGGAAGAAATAAGTTATAGAAACCTTGGAGCTTTGTTTCAAACCCTTGGCGAATATGAGAGGGCTAAAGAATATCACGAGAAAGCACTTCCCATTGCCACAGAACTTGGGGACAGAGAAGGAGAAGAAAGTAGTTACGGAAACCTAGGAACTTTGCTTCAAACCATAGGCGAGTTTCAAAAGGCTAAAGAATATCACGAGAAAGCACTTGCTATCGCGATCAAAATTGGCGACCGACAAGGAGAGGAAAGAAGTTACGGAAACCTCGGAGCTCTGTTTAAAAGCCTTGGCGATTATGAGAAAGCTAAAGAATATCAAGAAAAAGCACTTGTCATCGCGATACAAATTGGCGACAGACAAGGAGAAGGAAGAAGATACGGAAGCCT